CCGCCGCCGGTCCGCCCGCTCCGCGCTGCCCGGGGGTCTCGGGTGGTGTCGCGGGGCGCCGGGCGCTGCCTGCGCCGCCGAGTTGTAAGGCGAGTTTCCTGGAATTACTCACTCGCAGGATTCTTTTCATTCATAAAAACACAGTCATGCGGTGACATCATACTTTCCCCTCCCCATCGCGGCCAAGGGCACAGGCTGGGGGGAGGGAAGGGAAAAGCTGCCATCTTAGGGCTGGGCATACATCTTAAAGGGCCAGCTGCGCCGTTCCCCGGCACGTGTGGCCGGCTCGGCACCGGGCAGGTGCAAGGGGCTCGAGCTGCGGGCAGCGAAGCTTAGGTTGGCTGGTAGGGAGGACCCAGGGCAGTGCAGCTCCGGGGCAGGCGCCCCAGGGAGGTTATGGCTTGGGAGGTTTTTAAGACCCGGCTAGACAAAAGCCCAGGCTGCGGTGACCCAGTTGGGGATGGTCCTGCTTTGAGCAGGGGGGCTAGATCAGCGTTTCTCAACCCGCGGGGGGGGCAAGAATATATGAGGGGGTGGCACACAAAGTTTAAAAAATGCATTGACCAACCTTAAAACCTTTTTCTCCTTAGCATGGGAAACCGTGGCTTTTCCCTTGCAGCCTGGGAGCAGCTGTTTGGGGTCCCCTTCCCCCCACACGCCCCCAGGAGTCAGGGTGGGGAGTGAGGGGCACCAGGAGGGCCAGGGGGCTGTTTTCTACTTAAACTATTGACTGCGTCAGACCTGGCCATCAGTGCTTACAAATGGGTCCTAGTACAAAAAGGGTTGAGAACCAGTGGGCTGGATGACCTCCTGAGATCCCTTCCAACCCTCATTTGCTGATCCTAAGATCATTAGGAGGTCCTGGCACCCCTAGAATGAATCCTACTTTGTATCCTTAGTGGGGGGCATATTTTGTTCTTAGTTTTAGCCTAGAAGCAAGCATGGAATGGACAGATGGACAGGACAGGGGACAAGGCTCTGCTTCTGGCTTGGTCCTCGCTGTGAAGCTGCCTAGCCACCCCCAGTCTTGGCTACTCAATAATGGCACCAATGCTGCTTTTCACTGTAAAACTGCCTGAATGAACAGCTGTGAAGTGCTTTGAGATCTGTGGGTTGTGGCCCCGGAGAGGGTTTTTGTAGTCTCTTGCATCTGAGTATTGCCAAAGCTTCTGGTGATTGTGGAACAGTTTGTTTAAATAACTGCTGTGGCTTAGCGCCTGGGGGGTGGAGGGAGAAGGGGAACTGCTTCTGTTTTAAAGAAAGTGTTTTTAATGCAGGTTAGTCATAAGCTGTGGCAAAAAAAGTGAGTGGGTATATGGGTCTAGTGTGCAGCTATGGGGAGATGACATGCCCTAGACTGTAGAGGAATTGTTCTAGTGGTGTAACAGTGATGGGCCAGGGAACATGCATCGTGACTGAAGGGAGGGGCATCTTACACCTGAGAGTTTGTCTAGCATTTCCCTGAGTTATAGAGTTGGTTTGACAAACGACATTACCCAACAAATCTTGCGTTGTGCCCCAAATTATCTGTAAGAGGGGTGGCCAAGCTGTGGCACATGTTACAGGTGGCATGGGCAGCTACATGTGGCATATGGCAGATCGGGGCGGGGTGGCAGCACAGCAGCAGAAGGGGTAGGGAGCAGAATGCAGAGCAGCAGATCAGGCAGGGAGCAGAAAACAGAACAGCAGACCAGGCAGGGGAAGGGGAATGGAAGCCACTCAAGGGGGCATGGGGATTTATTTGTGGTACACCTGCCAAAAAGGTTGGCCCCCGCTGGTCTATGGAAAGGAGTTCTTATCTGCCTCAGCCAGAGGACAATCTCTTAATGGGCTCTCAGGGGGATGTCAGTCATGGGGCAGTGAGATTAGAAGGTCCTATGACCCTTTCTGAATTTTACTGAGCATTTTTCCTCCTTGATGCCATTGTAAAAAACCCCAGTTTAGAGGACAGCGAAGGCGTGCATTGATTTGAAGTCTTGTGATGTTTTGCTGGGAGGACATCTATGTTGCAACTCTAAATGGAAATGCAGAAAAGAAGACATATTGCCGGCTGGTTTCAGCCCTCGGAACATCCTGCTTTGGTTCTCTACATCTTTTAGAAATTCTCCTCCAGTAATGGTTCAAAACCACATCATTAGCAACTCTAAAGGCAGGCCATTGCTGAAAAGCAGAGGAATAATTTGTTTTGCTTTTACCAGGCCTCTCCAGGGCTGCCCTTCTGCAAAGTAGGGGTATTTGTGCCTCAAGGTAATGCACTACCCAAGCCTCCTTTGGGCTCCCGTGTGGATCAGTCTTGGGGAGCAGGGAAGGGAGGAGAATTCCTGCTACAGACATTCTACCTTTCCTGGATCCCTGCCATATGCTCATCAAGCTTTGCTTGGGACACCATGTTGTTGTGTGGTGACGATGGCTCCCCATCTCTCAGGGTCTTCACATTAGAAATGCCAGGCCTGTGGAGGATGTGCTCTAGGCCAGTGGTTCTCAACATTTTTAGATTTAAAGCACCCCTCGATAAACTCAAGACCCCCTTGAAAAATGCCAACTCTTGGTTTTCACTCTTTTTTTTTTTTTTGACTACAGAAAAGTACTAGAGGAATTATTTTTGTTGCAAAGAACTCTGCAGAAAAGGACCTGGGGGTTACAGTGGGCAATAAGCTGAATATGAGGCAACAGTGTGCCCTTATTGCCAAGAAGGCTAATGGTATCCTGGGCTGCATTAGTAGGAGTGTTGCCAGCTGATCAAAGGAAGTAACTATTCCCCTCTATTCAGCACTGGTGAGGCCATATCTGGAGTACTGTGTTCAGTTTTGGGGCCCCCAGTACAGAAAGGATGTGGACAAATTGGAGAGAGTCCAGCAGAGGGCAATGAAAATGGTTCGGGGGCTGGGGCACATGTCTTATGAGGAGAGGTTGAGGGAACTGGGCTTAATTTAGTCTGGAGAAGAGAAGACAGAGAGGGGATTTAATAGCAGCCTTCAGCTACCTGAGGGGGGTTTGAAAGAGGATAGAGCCAGAGTGTTCTCAGTGGTGGCAGATGACAGAACAAGCAGCCACAGTCTCAAGATGCAGCAAGGGAAGTGCAGGTTAGATAGCAGGAAAAACTTGTTCATGAGGAGGGTGGTCAAACACTGGCACAGGTTACGCAGAGCAGTGGTGGAAGCTCCAGCCTTAGAGGTTGTTAAGACCCAGCTAGACAAAGCCTTGGCTGGGATGATCTAGTTGGGGCTGGTCCTGCTTTGAGCAGGGGGTTGGATTAGGTACCCCCAAGGTCCCTTCTGACCCTCATTTTCTAGGATTCCCTGAATCAGGAAGACCGCAGCGAGGAGAGCATTCTGGACACGCTGGCTCCTGTCGGAGATGTCTGGGTGCACCTTGTGAACTGGGGTCGCCCACCTAGTGGTGCTAACATCCCAGGGCTCCCCGGCTGCAAATCACTGCTCTCAGCCAACGGTTATCTGTTTCTTTAGACCCCAGGTCCAGCCAGCACTGTCTTTGAATTAGGCAGTGCTCCATTGCAAAACCCACCTTATTTATTACACCACTGATCTCCTTGCATCTGCACCGGATGGAAAGAGGCCAGAGGCACCTGTGAAAGGATGTTGTGGGGCTCCAGGGCGCTGTGGGCCTCGATTGAGGGTCACTGCCCCAGGCCTTGGCCTCTGCCTGGGGTAACCACAATTGCTTGGCCTGGGACCCACAGGAGGCTGGAGGAGAGGCCCTAGTGGTCTTAACGCCCTGCACCCAGGTAAGCTGCTCAGGCCCAGTCCGGGCCCCCTTGGTTGCTGCGAGGTATAAAGCAGGGGCTGAGACGGGCCGGGGAAAGTTTTCACGTGACTGTCCCTTTAAGGGGGAGAGGAAGCCATCCTCCCCTCACAAAGATGGCTGCCGCCCTACTGTCCAGCCTCAACTTCCGCCTCGTTCTAGCAGACCTCTCCCGAATTGCAACACGCAGGGAGAAGGCGGGGCCGGAAGGAGGCTCGGCGTCTTAAAAAAGAGCCTGTGATTGGTCGCGAAGGGAGGGTGGTGCGGGGGTGAAAGAGCGGGCGCTGTGATTTGCGGGCACTGGTCACATGGCCGGGGAGGACTTTTGTTGGCGGAAGTCGGGTGTTGGGTCAGTGACTCAGGAGGTGAGTGCGGCGGGGGCGGGGCTCTGCGCGTTCTGTGTCCACCCCCTTCCCTCGCTCAGCCTGCCCCACCACGTGCCAGCCCGGGCTTGACGTCCGGCCCCGCGCGCACGTGCTTGGGGGCAGATATGGGGCGCGGGTGGGTGTTTGCCCCTGGGCATGGACTGCTCCTCCCTGCCCCCTCCAGCCCTGCACCCTGGCTCGAAGGGGGTGTCCATGGGGGCATCAGGAAGGAAGGAGCCACCTGGGCGAAGGGTCAGCGAGGGTCTGTGGGGAGGTGCGGAAATCCTGCCAGCTGTTCCAGGAACAGCTCTAGGGAGAAGGAAGTCGCTGGCTGCAGGCACCAGCGCGTCCTTATTGACTTTGTGTCTCCATGGGGACTTTTTTGGCCACGCCAGCTTTCTGTTCCCCTTTCCCTGGGTATTTTTTATTTCTCCTGTATTTCTGTTGCAGGGGTGGGGATAAAGGGCTGCTTATAAAGCCAGGGTTTTTTTGGCCGTTTTCTCTTTTGTGCTCTCCCCCTTCTCCCCTTTGACACATTCAGGGTTTTTCTTCTTCCATGATGTCGATCTGGAATAAAAGAAGGATCTTTCCCTTCCCTTCCCTTAGCGTTACGCTTGCTGCCATTTATAAAGACCTGCTGTTACATGTTTATAATTCTTCCCTCCCATTTATAAAGACTGGCCAACTGGGGGTGGGGATGCCCGACCTCATCCTTGTTCCAGCTTCTGTTCCTGTAGCGTCTGTTTTGGGCCCTTTGTTTTCTCTGCAAAACAAAATGGTCAATGGAGCTGTCCAAGATCCTAAATCCTTTGGTGAACTCTCTGTCTGGAGGAAGTGCAGGTCTGGGACCCTGTCTGCACAAGGAGCAATGTTTAATCTGTGTTGTGATGGCAAATACCATTTGAGCTCCCCTAGTGTCACCAGCAGTAGGAGCCCTTGGATGGGCCACCCCTGTGAAAAGCGTGGTGTCGGAAGCACTGTTCATTGGATGTCCTAGAACCAAAGATACGAAGTCCTTCACCCTTTGTTGAATCCCTTCACGTGCTGCTTTTCACCAACTTGGGGTGGTCATGGAATTCAGTCACCTTTTGGGCTGGGGTTAATATTGGGGTTGGGGTGTTTTTGATATGTTTTACTCCACCTTGTTTGAGTAACAGCAAATGCAGCCTTTTCCCACTGCTTCTGAGTTTTTAACTTTTTTATATGAGCATTCAGTTTTCCCTGCTTTGAGGAGGGTGTCAGGGTTGGGGAATCCCTTGTCTGACAGATGGAGCCTGTGAGCAGCCAGTTTTTGCTTTTTTGGGATCCTATAATCCAAGAGAAAAGGGCTTCCTCGGGTCCAGGTGGCTTTTGTGTGAACAGAAGAGGCCTGTGAAACTCTGTCCTCTTCCTCTATGCTGGACCTGTCTCCATTCTTGAGGAGCTCAGGATGTTGTTGTCTGTATCACTTCCAGGGTGTTTATGAGAGGGCTGCTGAGCTACTGACTTCCTCTTGCTCCATACCCCCCAAACCCAGAAATGAGGGAGGGAGGCTGTTCTGATGGAGCTCTCACGGCACTTGACTTCTGTCTTCAGCCTGTTGAGAGTCCTTGCACAGCAGCTTCTGGGTTTGGCAGGTGTGGAGTGGGAGTCTGCGGGCAGGTGCTTTTCTTCGAGGCTTTCCCTAGACCACTGTGGAAGCAACATAGATGCGCCTACTGGGTACATGCAAAACTGCTCAGCTGCTCCCTCCTCCTTTCAGGTTCCACTGCAAGCCCCAATTTCAGGTCTTGCAATGAGTCAAAAGCAATAGGAACCTGTATGCTCAGTTTATATGTTTAATGGGATTGGAATCTTAGTTCTAAGGTCCTTTTGGAGTCTCCTCGTGCCGGTCATTGATAGTTGCTTCCCCTACGGATGTAACATCTGCCAGCAAAGTTTCAAAATGATGGGCTTTGATGGCATCCATGTGCAGACTGCCCTACAAACGGAGTAGTCCAAAGCTGCTGTCCCAGATTCTGGGGCAGGGCGGTCTCATTTTTGTCTTGGGTATCTTTTAACAAAAATGTTTTTCCCCAAGGCTTGCAAACTGTGGAAAGCTTGGTTGCAAATAGTGGTAGGTCTATAGGTTAATTCTTTATCGCAGAGACCTTCGGAGTTGTTTGCTGCTTTGGATGTCATGGCTAAAGACCTTTCACTTCAGGCTAGAAGTGACCTACATAGACCTGATCCTGTGTTTAGACACCATGTGCTTGCTGAATTCCTTCTGTTTCCAGAAGGACTTAAAACCGCTCTCTACTGGGCACTAGCAGCTTCAGTAGCAGCTGTTGTTCTTCATGTGCAGGCTGTTGATGAAGAAGTCTGCTACCTAGAGCTTGATTCATACCTTTTATTGCTAAACTTTCTCTTCTCAAGACTGATCTGTGATTAGGTTGGATGCTGCATATGGGCAGGGAGGGTTTCAGTTACTGTTGAGAATGCCGCAAGAGTGTGAAGTTTGAGTGTGAGTGAGAGTGGGGAAGTTTGCACCACAGGAATGCTGAGGGGTGCTACTGAGATGGGTGGAAGCAATATTATGAAGGAGAAAAATAAGTTCTGTAGAAAAGAAATGTGCCAGATAATGTGTGGCCTCTGCAGCGCTGCACAGACTCTCCTTCCTCCTCTTTGCTTCAGGGATATGAAGGACTTGAAGCTTAGTTCATCCATGAAAGATCTCAATGCTGAATGTAGTGGAGATCAAGGATGTCTGCAAAACTGGCTTGTAGGTGTGTGGTGGGGGGAAGCAGGGCTACGTGTGAGGGGAGTATGGAGAAGAGCTGGGCCGTTTGTGGAGGGAATGGAGACCCACAAGAAAGAGATGGTAAATGGTGTCAACAGCACTGTTGTGGGTGTCTCAGGACTCTGGGATGTTTTGGGATGCCTGGCTTTCTAGCTGATGGCCAGCATCATACAGACTTCTTTAAATTTCCCCCAAACAAAAAGCAATCTTGTTTAGGGTTGGGTATTTGACCGGTCAAATATTGGCAAAAAACTGTCAATGGGTCCAAATAAAACGCATGCAATCATAAATTTTCCATTAAGAAATTTGTCAAAAACAGCAGAAATTCATATTTCTGTCAGTAAAACTACAGAAAATATAGTTTTTTGTAAAATTGCCATAATCTTTGGTCAAAAAAATATGCAGTTGATTGACTGATCAATATTTGACCAGGCAGTTGACTAGCTTCCCAAACCTAGTTTTGTTAAAAGCCAGTTACAGCTGCTTCACAGAATACTTTTCTAATATCTCCATAAAAAGGCCAGGAACACCCTAGTTAATTTATCAGACATTGCATGCAGCCTGTATTTATGATTTCACCTTCACTTTATCCGTTTCCTTTTACTTCCTTCTCTGTACACAGCATGCAGCTTTCAACATTCTCTGCAAACAGTTGGTGAAGCACGTCAACAGGTGTACATCCTCCTTCGTGGTTGAAATTAACTTGGCTATGGTTGTTACAGCCGTCACTTTCCTTGATGATAGTGCATGTAGTTTAAACAGCATTAATACGCCCAAACAGTTTCCCCTTGTTTAGCAATCCCAGAGCAGAACCTGGACTGACAGAATCATCTGCTTAACCTGCACCACCCACACAAGCCATTTCCTTCAACACAGCCCAGGTTGACATTGCATGCAGCAAACAAACTACTTCATAATTGTTTCTGTATCCATGTTAAAGTGTGTACAGTCAGGCCCTGATCCAGCACATGCTTTGCTGTTATGAGAAATCCCCTCTGCTCCCCCCGGGTGGTATACTTGGATTTTTGCTTGAGGTAGTGAAGTCAAATGCATACCTGTGCAAGACTTCGCCTCAGTGTGGAGGTTGAAGGTGAGAGTCATGGGAAGATAGGGATGTAAGGGTTGTCACCTAATCCATCCCTCTGCCTTTACGTCGGGGTGGGCAAAATGCAACCCGGGGGCCAGATGCGGCCTGCCAGGCCATTCTATGCAGCCTGCAGGGCCCCTCAAAATTTAGAAAATTAATATTAATTTGCCCCTGGCTGCCTATCATGCGGCCCTCAATGGCTTGCCAAAACTCAGTAAGCGACCCTCCACCCAAAATAATTGCCCACCCCTGCTTTAGGTGAAGTTGACCGTACCTGACCGATTCTTAACAGATGTTTGTTTCTCTTGCTCTGAAATGCCTCCAGTGATGGAGCATCCACCACCTCCTTAAGACATCTGTTACAGCAATGGTGCTCAACCTTTTTGCCTGGTGGGCTAGATGGACAGTGCCCAGTCCACTGGGATCCAGGCCGCAAATCTGGCACCTGGAGTAGCTGCAGGTTGAGCAGCCCTGTGTTACAGTACTTATCTAACTGCGGTAGTGAGCTAGAAAGTGATGGTAAGACAAAAATCATAGTTGCGGTTAGCATGGGGTAGCTGAGGGGGTAGCTAAGGGCTTCCCACCTTGTATAATTCATGTTGGGTGTAAAGTACTGGGCTGGCACTTGAGACCTGGACCCAACCTCTCACCCTGCCCCAGGAATCCTGTGTGACCAAGGCCAAATCACTTAATCTCCTTGAGGCTCAATTTTCCATCTCTAAAATGAGCATAAGAATCCAGCCTGTCTCCCTTTGACTGTCCCGTATATTTAGACTGTCCCTTACAGGGATCATTTCTTAGTGTGGTGCAACTCAGAGTAGGGCCTTGATCCTGACTGACGCATCTGGAAATTACTGTGTCCATCAGTCAGGATCAGGCAACCTGGCCTGCTGGAAGTCTGTTCTATTGATTCATGATGCACAGCCCTTAGGTCTTCTGTCCACTTTATGCTGCTCTGGGGGAAAGCTGAGGACAGCACTGCTTGTCTCAAGAGCCCCATCTGCTGGAGCTTCTGAAGCATCAGTGGGCAGCCTGTTGGGGTTAGGGGGGGGAGAAGCTGGGCTGAAGGTCACTGAATGATGGGGGCACCAGGGCAGGGACTGATGCAAGTTGAACTTGGTGTGTCATTTCTTTCAGGGTGACTGGGACAGGACAGCTCATCTCAAAGATGCAGTTCTTCGGTCGAATTGTCAATACCATTAACAGTGTCACCAACTTGTTTTCAAACCCATACCGGGTGAAGGAGGTGCCCTTGGCGGAGTTTGCATCTCATACACGCCTGAGGGAGGAGGGCAGGGTCACCCTGTACAAGAACAATGCGGCTCGCTCCTGGGACTGCCTGCTGGTGAACCCCCAGAATCAGCTGGTTGCCTTCCGGTGAGTGTCAGAGCACCCCTTCCCCTTTGGGTTGCTTACTTGGTGAGAGAGTGGTGATTTCCTGTGGATGGCCACCCCTCCCGATTCCCCAGGTCTGTGAGAACAGGGGATAGAAACGCTTGCCTGGCTGTAAATGGTAGTCACTGTGGACAGGAGGGTCTGTTCCAAGAGGGGAGAAGTGCCCTGACAGTCAGTGATGCAGGAATGGACATAGTTCCTTTGTATCAGTAGGAGACTTCCTCCCCAACTTGGCATGAATATTCAGTGCCAAGCAAGCAGAGAGATTCTGGGACTGGGGTGTGTAGGAAATCACTGTCTCCCTGGTGCTAGCAGGGGTGTCTCCTGGCCTACTTGGAAAGGAGATGAGCAGCATTCTTACTCCCTTTTCCTTTTGTCAGGATCTTCCAGCTGGACAACGAGGTGGAAGCTGCCAGGCACTTTGAGCAGTATGCACGGCAGCTGCGCCCTTTCTATGAGAGCTCCCAGCAGCCTCTGCAGCTGGAGGTCCTCCAGCAGCTGAGCGACTGTTTCCGCAACCACCCCAGCTGGTCCCTGGCCCATGTGGCAGTGGAGGTGGGACTTCGGGAAAGCTTCCAACACAACCACATCCAAAGGCAAGAGCTGAGGAGCTCTCCTCTGGGGAATTAAGTCAGAAAAGAGAGGAAGCCCAGGCTAGCACATTCAAAGGGAGGTGCCTCACTCTGTAAAGCAGGCCCTGAATAAAAGTTGGGCTGCTTTGGCAGCCTCCCCTAAGTCAATCTGCAGGTAGTGCCCTAGATATCTTGCTTAGTCAAATGGCAAAGGGGGTGGCTGCCTGCCCATTCTGGAAGAGTGTATACCTACTATACCCCATGTGATTTACCAAAGCCCAGACCCACACCTTTTGAGCTCAAGGAACAAATCAATTAGCTGGTAGTTGTAGTAAGGATGTTACTGCCCAGATTAGTGGTGCCCAACCATTTCACCCCATGGGCTGAATTGGTGTAGCTGGGTTTGTCCACAGGCTGGATCTGGCCAGTGGGATCAATCCGGTGCATAGGATTTGCCCGGCAGAGGCCAGAACTGGCTACAGAGGGGTGTGCAGCCTGACCCTGATCCAGCTACCCAGGGAGGCGGGGAGTGGCTTAGCTCTGATGTGGGATGCAGCAGCCTGGCCCCAATCCTGGTGCATGTGGGGGCACAGGGTGGAGTGGCCCTGATCTGTATATGTGGGGATGGGGAACAGCCTGGCCCTGATCCGGATGTGCAGTATGTGGGTGGAGGCCGAGGGGCCCAGCTCTGATCCAGACACGTAGTGGGATGCGGATGGGGAGCAGCCTAGCTTGGTACAGATGCATGGAGGGCAAGCCCAGCCCTGATCCTGTTGTGCAGCAGTGGTCCAGCCAGGGTCAGATCTGACCATATGGAACTTCCACCGCTCTCCTGCCACCAAATTTTGCTACCTACAGATATCCCTGTGGGCTATTTGGCCTGGCACTGTGAGCCAGATTTGGCCTGAGGGCTGGGGTTTGAGCAACCCTGATCTAGGTGGTCCACTCGTTCAGATGGGGTTGTGACACAATTTGTGCAAGCGTCTTATGCAGATAATTAGAAGGGAGGAGGGATGTTCTTCCTGGATCAGAAGTGCTGGAAAGCTCTTTGTGTGAGATGCTGCATTCCCCTTTAGCAGGATCTGGGGAGACGTCTGTTTTGAGGAAAAGAAAAACTTGAGAGGAGTTGAACAGGTGCTTAGACACGAGGGAGGTAGGAAGGGTCTGGGTACAATTCTCTGTGAGGATGCTGCAAGTCAGTGGTGAGGCGTGTCAGCAGAGCTATAGGGTGGCTCCATAGCTGGCATAGCAGAGATGCTAAGAGGCCGGTCTGAGGGACACGGGCATGGATGGCTAAGGACAGAAAAGCCTTGTACAGCGCTTGCCCTGCTGCTGCTATTGCCTTGCCTTCACAAAGTGCTTGGGTCTAACCTGATTGTTTAATGAGGCTTTGAAGCAGGTGTCTGTGAGGCAACTGTACATTGAGGGTCCCTGTATTCCAGGAAAGAGGGCCCCTACCTTGGGCTCATGCTGTGTTTATGCCTCTTGTGCTGCAGCTGTTTGAACAGCACCCAGTGTGAGGATGTCTGCACCCCGCTGCATCTGGCCTGCCGGAAGGGAGATATTGAGTGCCTACGGGAGCTGATGGACTGCCATGCCCGGCTGGATATCACTGACAAAAATGGGGAGACAGTCTTCCACTATGCTGTCCGAGGGGGTAGCCCTGAGATAATAGAGGTGAGTGGGAGGAGAAGCAGCCTGGGAGAGGGGCTGGTTGAGGAGGGGAGTGCTAAGGAGCCAAGTCCTGCCCTTATTTGGAGGGGGTGGGGTGGGGGAGGGGTAGGATGAAAGAAGAAAGGCCAGTGCTGGAGGAGGTAGGAGCAGGGCTTTCCACTTCTGGAGGAGTGAGCCAGCTGGTTCTACTGCTACAGGAAAGGGGTGGGGTAGAGAGGGAATAGTGTGGATCCTGTGGATTGATTTCAGCCCCACTGTTCCCTACATTTTTAAAGATTTTGTTTCCTGGGTGATGCCAGAACTCTTGGTTTGGACTCTGAAGTCCAGCATGCTTTGTACCACCAGCGTGAAAATAAGTGGGCCTGATTAAATAATCTCACCAAGACAGTAGAACTTATTGTTGGCATCTGTGCCTGGTCTTGGGCCAGGTATTCCCTTTCTGGCTCCATGTTGCCTAAAACAAGGGAAGAACACACCTGTCTTCTCGTGTCTGTGGATCCATGGCTAGCACATGATGCTGGTGGTCTGAGCTGGCAGAATTCCCCCTTAAGCCTACCTACGGGAGTTGGGTGATAGGAGCCTTGGTGTGGCATAGATGAGTCCTCTAGGTCCTTGTGTTGGGACACCTGTGATGGGTTGGCCACACTGACTTGGGGAGCCCTCCTCACATGATTCCTTCCTGCTGATCAGAAGCATTTTGTTGAATGCTGTATGTTTGCCCAAGCTGATATTAAGAATCAGGGCCCTGAGACTGAAGGTAGAAGGGCAGCAGCCTGCTGCTGTTTTACCTCTGGTCTGAGGAGAGACCTAAGCTATTTCAAGGTGTTTCCGGTCCTCTTCTGGGTACAGTGTGGGAGTATTTGATGCTAAACACTATAATCTCCAGAGCAATCTAGTGGGGTGGAGATGGTCATCCAGACCAACATGCGAAGTACAACCATCTGTGCATGGGCAGTGCCATCTCTGGGCCATGCCCTGACCTGAAGTCTGCTGAGGAATCTAGCAGCTGACAGGTGGCACTGGACACTCCTTATTTTTGCCAGCTGGTCCCTATTCTTTTATTAGTGTCTGTGCAGGGGTTAGAGCTTGTGGCCAAATCCATGGAAGGAAGAGAGGTATTCTTGATCTGGCCTGTTGGCCTGGGAGACTGGGAGGCCCCTGGATGTGGGGCTTACAGTACAACAGGCTGGGTCTCTGTAGAAGGGAGGCTAGGATTTCTTTGCCTCCTTCACAGTTTTGTAGGAATTCTTAGGGTTCAAATTGCTTGTTCTGGGGTTTAGTTTGTCGTCTTCCCTAAAGTTGCTGTCAGGTCCCTGGTAGTCTGTGAGAGTGGTGGTGTGGCTGAGGGTGCCCTGGGCTGGTATTTCTAGGGCAGCAGGCAGGGAGCTTTTTAGCCCATCACCAGTTCTTTTACTTTTTGAACTTGGGGCTTGGTAGTTTTCCAGAAGTAATGTTGCACTTGGGATGGCTCCAGGAGTGTTCTGGGACAGAGTGTGGTGGGCTTGACTTTGTGACAGGATGTGTTGAGAATAAGGCTCAGTGCTTGTAAGAAGTGAAGGTTTAGTGGGGTCTGAAAATAGTGCTAACTTAAGAAGGCCTGTCCCTGGGTTGCTGTAGGAGTGTCACTGAGCTAGCTTACACCAAGAGAAGTTCTTAAATTTGAATTCCGCCATATCTTATTCCTTCTGGGCTCTGCTACAAGAGTGGGCAGATTCACTTCCTGCTGCTTCTGCATAAACCCAGAGCTGGTGGGTTTCCTGCAGGGGTAAACCAACCAACTGACAGTGCTGTTTGGTGTGAAATCATAGGGAAAAATAAGATCTTCAAAGCATCTCTGTTTTTGTTCCAAGTAGAACCTATATTTTGCTCCCACCCAAAGCTGGTTGACTCATGGAAGTATCTGGGCGAAAAGGGAGAGCATGCCATGAGTTAGTCTTCCCTGTTGGGTGGAGCGTGGGGAAGGGTTGGGCCATTTTGTGCATGAGGAGCTAGGTACTGTACCCAGCAGCCATCCTTGGAACTCCGACAAGGAGATCACATTGTTCTGTCTTTTTCAGCTCTTGGGCAAAACATCATCTGTTGCCTTGAACTACCTGAGCAACCAAGGGCAGTCCCCTCTGCACCTAGCCTGCCAGCTGGGCAAAGAGGATGTGGCTGTGTCTCTGCTGAAATGTCAAGCCAGCTGCAACATCACTGGGGCTCTGGGCTTCCCTATTTACACTGCTCTGAAGTACTCCCAGAAGGGGTGAGTGTCTATTAATCTTGTTGGGAAAGAAGCACTGGAAGGCCATCGTCAGGGGGAAGGAAGGAGTGAGGGGGAAGTCCTTTCTCCTGCCTCTTCATAGATTTCATAGACATTACGGCTGGAAGGAAGGGACCTCGGAAGATCACAGAGTCCAGCCCCCCAGCTCAAAGGGCAGGAAGTCAGCTGGGGTCATAGGATCCCAGCAAGATAAGCATCCAATTTACTCTTGAAGGTGTTCAGTGTAGGTGCTTGAACCACCCCCAATGGCAGGCTGTTCCAGACCTTGGGGGCTCGAACAGTAAAGAAATACTTCCTTATGTCCAACCTGAAACGGTCTTACGGTAGTTTATGACCGTTCAATCTCATCATCCCCGCTGGTCACAGGACACCATGATGATTGACTTCCATCAATTACTACCCTCTGGGTCCGACCACGGAGCCAATTTCCCAGCCAGTGGATTGTGGTGGACCCAAGGCCACAATTGGCCAGTTCCACCAAGAGGTTATCGTGGGATACCAGATCGAAGGCTTTTTTGAAGTCAAGATATATGACATTAATCTCTTCTCCCTTGTCCAGGTGATAGGTCACCTGGTCGTAGAAGGAAATGAGATTGGTCAAGCAAGACCTACCCGCAACAAACCTGTGCTGGCTATCCCTTAGGTTGTTGGCGTCGGCCAGTCCGTTAAGGATGGCCTCTTTAATAAAGTTTTCTAAGATCTTCCGTGGGATAGAAGTCAGGCTGATGGGCCTGTAGTTAGCCGGATCCACTTTCCTCCCTTTCTTGAAGATAGGCACCACATTGGCCTTCTTCTAGTCTTTGGGTACTACACTAAAGCAGCAGGAGTTATCAAAGATCCGTGCCAGGGGCTGGGCTATGATGCTCGCCAGCTCCTTGAGTACCCTGGCGTGTAGATTGTCAGGACTGGCTGAGAATGGATCGGTGTCCAGGGCACTGTTTACTGGCATGGACTCATTGGCTTTCTTCCCAGTGCCTATGAGTCTCACTGGGATAGGACAAATACCAGGAGGTTGTGTACTGGCTCAGGTACCTCTTGGCGGCCTTCCTTGGAGCAGAGCCCATAGGGTGGTTGTTAGTGGCTTGCTAGACACGGCCCAGCCTGTGTCTGTTTAGGGCTCACCTGCCTCCCTGAATGGTCCCTGGCAGGGTACCACCAGCTGATGCTGATCCCACAGGCCAGCTTCTGGCCTGCTGAGAGCTACTCAGTGGCACAACTCCATGGGTGAGGGGGCTGTTTTGCTCCCAGTTTCCCCATGTGCTGCTGTGGTAGAAACATTGCAGATTGTTGGCAGGCTGTGGGACCTTTGTCTTCATCTGTGCTTTAGTTTTTTGTTTCCTCCCACAGTTGTGCACAAGCCATCCTCAACACTGATGTCAGTCAGGTGCAGTCCAGGGATCCACGCTATGGAGGAACTCCACTCCACTGGGCCAAAAATGCTGAGGTAGGCAGATCTGACTGCCAGTAGGTGGAGGACATGTTGGTAGTGGGTAGATGGCATATTAAGATGCATAGCAGCCCCACTGCACTGCATTTGCTTGTTTGTGTTCTGTCTCTCTCATAATTCCTCCCGCTGGAAACGTTCCCCTTCCAGCAAGGTTCTGTGTCTCTGGGAAGCCATTTAGAATACAGTGTCTAGTAAGGCTCCAGAAAGGCAGGCCGCAAATGGCATATACAAGCCTTGGACGTTTGGACTCCCAAGTAGAACAGTCTCTCTTCCAATGGTGCCAGCTGAAGATCAGGCCCATACACTCTAGAAAAAGAGCTCCAAAGCCCAACCATGAACTGACCATGTGGGCTGACCCTAGTTCAGAGTTTTCCCAACCTTTCTTATACCACAGGCTGGCAGCAGAGCCAGGCCAGGAGGAGGGATGTGGCTGGGGGCAGCGCATGCCTGAGGAGCAAGCTAGTGAGGGCTGAGCCACTGCCACTGGGAGCTGGTTAAAGTTTGTGCCATGACCTGGCACCCAACCCTTCGTGGCTCAGTAGCAGGCTGCAGCCCGGTGGTTGGGAACCTCTACCCTAGTTTATCCATGGCTGCTAGGTTTCCAGATTGTCCTTCTTTCCTCTTTTGCTGATTAGTGGAAAGTGCTGCTCTTGGTCTGAGGCCCCCTCTAGGGTAGAACATTTTGTGCCATCATCAATGCACAACAATGCCTAACGGGAATTGAAGAGCAACTTCTTTAATGGCAGTGATAGGGGAACTTTGGTAGATACCTTGTAATCATCCATAATGGGAAGTGGCCCCATGGCTGGGGTGGATACTGTTACCCTGGCATAGATTTTATACCTCACACCAAAATGTGGCTTTTGCAAGGGCATGTTGTCCCCTAATGCAATGTGAGGACATGGATTCAGAGCTGTTTTTAAATGGAGAGTGCCTTCTACTGATTTACTGACATCTCTCTGCATCCTCCGTGGAGTTATCCCATGCAAGTACTGAGCAGATTTAAATCTGCTTGGATTGTGAAGAGGAACAGCAGGAATGCATGAGGATTTTGGCAACATCCACATAGAATCTCCTTCCCCCTCCATCCCTTCCTCCCTCCCACTTGGCAGTTTCTTGCCAGAGACTTTAGTCCTCTCAAGAGTTTGTTTTTGGGTTGCTGGATTTCTTTTTGTTGGTTTTTTTTTTTTTTTCATTCAGCTCTGGCTCTGCTGCCTGGTGCTTGTAGGCAGTGTAGCATTGTGAGGCAGAGATGCTCACCAGCATCAGTTAGTTATTAAAGTGAACAGCTGCTTCTGTACCAAATGTGAGAGAAATCTTGCAAAAGCCCACGAGTCCCAGCATGGCCATTCAGGGATTTGTAACTGAGTTTGAACTGCTGGGGATTGTCTCCACTCACTTCTTCCCACCACTGCAACCTCCAGGATGGTTCCATTGCTGATTCTCTGGTGTATCCTGCCTCTGGGAGTACTTTGCCCTTCCTGGCTGTTACACTGAAGCTTTCCCCTTTCTTGTTTTCCCTTCCTGCCTGCACCTTTGGGGTATAGATGACCCGACTGCTGCTGATGTGTGGCTGTGAAGTGAATGCCGTCAGCAACACAGCTGACACAGCTTTGCACATCATGGTCAAACGGGGACGCTTTGACTGTGCCATGGTGCTGGTGACACATGGGGCCCTCACAAATACCAAGGGGCAGGATGGCAACACCCCACTGCACCTGGCCATGAAGGTGAGTTTCTCATGAGTTGCTGATGGCTCTGCACATCCGTGAGGGTTAGAGGGAGCATTTTCTGCAGGATCCTGGCATGAAAATACCAGAGAGGAGGCTCCACCCCTCCTTTTGGTGAAAGGGGGTTAGCATGTGCTTCTCACCTCTTCCGTGCCTCCAGCTGGGTTTTGTGTCCAGCTGTGGTAATGATTACATCAAAAGCCCTCACCCTTGGAGTTCCAGGTGTTGGGAAAGAGTTGAATTCAGCGGGGGGCCCTTGGGTAGCTGGGGCACCCAAGGGAGCTAGTAAAGAGGAGGGTGATGAGGCTCAGGCATGTCAGCGGTGGCAAGAGGGGAAGGGGAAAGTTGCTGATGGCTAGAACCTCCTATCTTACAGCATGACCAGCTGGATATGATCAAGGCCCTTATTGTGTTCGGAGCAGATGTGGACATCCCCAATGACTTTGGGGAGACACCAGGCCTAGTGGCAGCCAGGACCAGCAAAGGTGAGAGACAGTGGGGGGGGAAGGGGAAGAAAGCCCTGAGAAGGAGAGGGGAAGTAGGGGATGGGATATATCTTGAGGAAAGCCAGGTGCACATGCCTCCTTTCCCGGCTGGGTTGTCAGATGCTGCCCACACATGGTGAGGCAGGGCAGCTCCTCCAGACTTGTCAAGGTGCAGTCACACCCGGCCCT